AAAAAGAATGTCCCTCAAAAGACTCATGTGTCCATAGATAGGGCTTTTGGAAGGTGACTGGAACACAGGGGCCCTATAGCTGGCTTGCTGTTGGGGGTGGGGCCTGGCTGGAGGTGGGGGGTGTAGCCCAGAAGGGAAGATGCTTGTCCCTGGCTTCTCTTGTCTCTCCCTGCTTCTTGGTGGCCATGACATGAGCAGCTTCTCCGCACCAGACCCTTTCACCATGTCTTCCCTGCCTTGGAGCTAACTGTGAAAGGAATCTTCTAAAAGCTGTGAGCAAAATAAATCTCTCCTCTGTTAAATTGAAAGTGTTGGGTATTTTGTGCCCGTGACAAGACATTGAGTAATACATCCACTTAGATCATGTTAATAAAGTCTTCAGTACACAAATAAGCACATAGTCCACAATAATGATCTTCTATATCATTATGTCTCCTAAGTGACTTCATAGTTAGATACATCATTTTCCTGCTATAGGTGACTTGTACTTATTTATTTTAGTATGTAAAGCAGTTATGTGATTCTACTTTCAAAACTAACAAGTTTTTCTTAGATAAATACTACTCCTATGATTTCCATCCTCTTATTATAGATACATTTTTTTATTTTCTCAAGCTTTAGTTTTAGCTTTATTCTTCCACTAGGTTTTATTGCAAATATAAGTGGTATGTAAATGCATATCTTTACTTATATATTTCATACTCTGCACACTATTATGCTTTTATTTTCACCTCAAATATATATCCTGTAGGGTTTTTTTTTTTTCAGAACTGGGGATTGAACTCAGGCCCTTGCACTTGCCAGGGAAGCACTTATTCTACTGCGCCATCTCCCCAACCCTATCCTGGAGTTTAGATAAACTTGTAAAGTTCTCCCTTCTCCCACTATCCAGCACTTCTACACATTCAAGAGAAGAAGGCTAGCTGCTTGCACAATTTGCTTAAACAGTGAATAAACTAATTTTGCTATCTGTAAGACTTTCCTCATATTTTATTTTCCACTCCCAGGGATAGAGCCTAGAACTCTGGCACTGAGCTACATCCTAACCTTTTTTGCTTGAGATAAGTTTTTGCCCAACTTTTCAATTTCCTCCTGCTACAGCCTTCCAGAGCTCTGGACTGTAAGCCTGCAAGACCACATCTGGCTTCTCAGATTCTTGATGGCAAGTGGTTGAATGAAGCCAGATAATCGGGCCCAGATCCAAGCCTTGGTCTGAGCCCCTGTATAGTAAGTCACACAGCCAGATATCCCTTTCCTCTGCACTAAACTGTAAATGCAGATATCCTGTGACCTGCTCCCTTCCTCAAAAGTCACCATGCTTGAGAACATTAGCAAGGAGCTTTAGGTGGAAAGGGCTGTCTCCCCCTAATGGTGTTCAGCGGCTTTTTGTTCCTGTTGATATTTGCATTTTTTGTGTCACCTGCCGCACTTTTAATTGTTCCATTGTGCCTGGACATGTCAACTATTTCAGCACCCAATTGCTTTTTGATCATTCATTCTGAGCTAAGCACGGCTTGCCTAGAGGCAGCTTCAGTAGAAAAGAGGTACCCATTGCTGCAGAATGAGTGGTGCGTCCCTCAGAAAGAAGGCCAGTAGCCAAAGAAGGTGCTTGCTGGTGACATGCAGTGACACACAAGCTGCAGCCCAGTTCCAGTGAGCTTGACTTCAGCCTTGCAGGCACCACTGGTTCCACCCACTCTGTGGGACACTTTCAGGCTACTTTGAGGCTGAAAGGTCTCAGTCACTTCACCACCTCCGCCCTTCTTATTTCCTGAATCTGGTGAAACTGATCGGGTCCCACAGAGCAACCAGATCTCATCCCACACCACTGGAAGAAGCCCATCAAACCAGCTGTCTCCACTTTCTTTATAACACCTGGAGTCCAAGCTAGTCAACAAGCTGTAACAGGGAGGGCTCTCATGGATCTGCCTTACTATCACGGTGCTCTGACAAAGCAAGAGTGTGAAATTTTGCTGCTCAAGGAAGGAGTGAATGGCAACTTTCTGATAAGAGACAGCGAGTCTATACCTGGAGTCTTGTGCCTCTGCGTCTCGTGAGTAGCCTCACCTTCCCCACACTGAAATTTTCTGTTGGCTGTTGTGATGGCAGCCACATCTTCAAGGAATTGTATTTCATTCTCCTTTGCAGCACCAAATAGCTAGATGCTTCCCAGAGAGTACAGAAGGGTTGTGCCTGCCCAGTTCTTCTACCTGCTCTGCTCCCTGGTATAAATGTCATGTGTACAGGCTCCGTAGGAGCAGAATGAGGGCTGATGGGAAAGGGAGAGGCTGCAGGAAGCATGTCTGGGTGGAGAGAAGGTAGCTTTGAGGAACATTCTCTCTTTCACAGGTCTATTTACTTAGTATGGAGGCTACAGGTCTTCCATGAAATTTCAATCTGAAAGATTATGTATTGTGTTTTGTCCACTTGCAATACATACAATGTTTTATTTTACTAATATAAAATTGTATTTACTTAGAAGCACTCAGCATGTCAACAAAACAGTTGACTTTTTTTGCGATTACAGAGTAGTATTCAGTTAACAGAGCAACAATCTTTTCATATAAGCTGCATCAGAGACAACTGAAGATGAAAGACTACCATCCCCATATATGACTAATTTGAGCTGTGCACCAAGAACCTGCTTTAAATTTCCATGCCAATTTACAACCCCCATAAAATGCTAAAATTTTATGTTATGTTTGTCAAGGGTTCCACCATGTATCATTTCTTTTCATCTTTCTTGTGTTTTTATCAAGGCAAACAGAAGCAGTCACTATTTCATAGGCGAAGAGACAGAGATTGGAATTTCTCAAATGACTCATTTATGTTAAACTTCATCTGATATTTTCAGAGATGGAGCAATATATGAAAATTCAGGACAGAGAATCAGAAGAGCTACTTTATTGGAGAAAATTTTATGCTCAGTGTAGAAAGCAATGCTGAAAAGGTATCAGTCAAAATCTCTCTGTGTATTTTTTCCTGTAGAGAGCATTGAAACTTTCATTCTGCCCTTTGTAAAATTAAAATCCAAGTGTCTCCTGTTCAAGGAAAAAAAAAATTCAGTGACATTTGTTAAAGCATGGAAGACTTTATTCAAGACAATCTTGATAGGGAACAGGGACCACCGCCATGGGGACTCAGAGGGAAAGAGATGGGGCTTAACTCCAAACAGAGCAAGGGCAGATGGGGACATATGACCAAGGAGCAGAGTCAGCATCAGCGAATGGAAATCCCTAAGAGAAAACTTCAAGGATAAGAGGAATGGTAGCTAAACACACCAGATTTTAGCTGAAGATAGGTCAGAGTGCTCAGACGTCACCTGGTGGGTAGTGGAGGAAGAACCTGGTGAGACATTGATGGTGATCAGATATTGATGGTGAGGGGGTCTCTCCAAACTGACTTAGGAGAGTTCTTTGATAAAACTAGATCTTATGAGAAAGTTCACAGACAGGTTTAGGGGAAGGTTGATAGCCTGACTAAAATCTGACCAAGCAAGACTTGGTACCACTCTCTGAGTAAGCTTTCATATTTCTTAGAAATTGAGAGCTTTGAAGACAAACTTGATTATCAATAGAATAACTATTGAAATGAAAGCAACTAATAACTAATAGAAATGGAAGGATATGTTTGTTTCTATAAATGGTGCTGGAGATGTAGGTATGAGAAAGATATCGTTAAGGTATTATCAATTTAATTTTCAAGTGACATTGAATATATACATATTTTTTCAGCCATCGGTAATTTCTGCTGTGGTTCAAATGTGGTTCATCCTAGAAGGGTTCCCATGTTGTAAGTTTCAGCTCTGCTGTGGTGTTAAGAAACAGTGGGATCTTGAAGGAGTTAGGCTTAACGTGAGGTCCTGGGGTCACCAAGATGGATACTCTTGAAAGGGTAAAATAAATACTTCTCACGAGACTCTGAGTTAGTTCTTGGTGGTGGATAGTTATAAAAAGAGCCAGATCAGCCTGCTCCAACCCTGCTCCAGCTTCCCAGTTTGCTCTGCGATCTGTCCCTCTTGCTTGTGTTCACACCATGATGCTCCCTGCCAGGGAGGTGATGCAGCCCTGGGTTCCCCGCCAGAACAAGCACACTGCTGTGTGGACTGTCGGCCTCCTAACTGTGGGCTGACTAGACCTCTTTTCTTTACAAATACAGCCTTCTGTAAGGATATAATAACGGAAAATGAAGTCATTCAATTCCCCTTTAGAAAACTGCATGTCTGAATCTTCTCACCTATTTTTAATTTTCTTCTTGATGATTTCTTCTAAATTATATGTGTGAAGATAATTTTTTTCCCCAAAAAAGATGCTCTCAGAGAAGAAAAGACACATGTGTAGAACGATTGCACACATTCAGGAGAAAATATACACTGTTTAAATGTGGTTTAATCCAAGAAATCCAGGAATATTCCATGTTAGAAAAAATTTTAGTTTACCTATGTATAGTTTAACTATTAATATATTAATAGTTCATTTAACACACTTCATAATTTATTAAATTGGCTTAACATGTATGAGATTAAGTATGCCACCTCCCAATTAAATAGAAACACGCGCATGCACCTGCACACATATGCACACGCCTTACAAACTCCTACACAGCTACACAGGTAGCTCCTTAACCAAAGGCCAAATGAAAAATTATAAGAATTCCTGTGAAAGTCATGATTGAGCCAGCGGTACTCACTTTCAGCACTACTTTACGACGTTTACCAGGAGATCCTCACAGCTGTAATGGGCCAAAGGATGTCAGTACAAGAAGTGTAAAAATTTTAAAAGAAAGCACAAAATTATTTGAAATTAAGATAACTTTATAATTAAGAAGTCTAAGATTTAAGTGGGAAAAATTTTTACTAAAATTTTTAGAAAAATGCAATACAGGCATCTGCTTTGAATATTAATTTATAAAATTCAACAGTTTTCCTATAGAGGTATAATAACCAAGAAAAATATAATAAAACACCTCATTGAAAGTAGAGAAAATTCATAATACACAGGCATAAATGTAATATGAAGTATGTAAGAATTGTATAAAGAAAACCTATATATCTAGTAGGGAGCATACTAGGAGACTTGAATAAATGAAAGCGTATTAGTTCTCTTCAGTCTAAAACTCAGTATGTTTCCAGTAATAAAAACAAATAATACTTTTTAATTTTTTAAAAGGATAGTATATCTATAGTAGAACACAGAAAAAGGACTTTATAGCATCGCCAGAAATGTCCCCTTAGAAAGGGAACTAATTCTATCAAATACTAAAATACATTATAAAACTATGGCTGTCACCACTGTAATTAAAATAATTCAGCACTGGAAGATCAATGAGATGAATATAGAGACCACAAATAAAGCCAAGTATATATGAAATCTGGCATGTACTAAGAAAAATAATGCATTCTAGGCCAGTGAGGAAACACCGGCTGTTAACCAAGGTGTTGGGATACTTTCTATGACTTAGAAAAAATAAACCTAGATCCCTATCCTCTGGAATTAAAATTAATTTTAAGTGGTTCTAATATGTAACTTGTTTAAGATGTAACTATGTATTAGAAGAAATCACAACTAATATGTTCACAATTGGGAAGTCCTTTTTAAACAAAAACTCAAACCTAGAAACCACAAAACATTAACAAATATTACCATTATTTAAAAAATAATGTTAAAAGTAACTTAAAAGACAATTGATAAACTCAGAAAACAATAAGCTTCCTTAACATTTAGAGCATTTGCAAACCATATAAGAACTCAGGGTGTAGGTCGGTGACAGAACACTTGCCTGGCTTGTGTGAGGCCTTGTGCTAGATCCCAGGACCACACGCACATAGAGACACACAGAATCAATTAAATAAATTCAATAAGTACAAAAGCAAGAGAGTCTCAGAAAAAAAGGTGAAAAATACTAGCTCTCACTCATAATTTTAAAAATACAAATTATTATAAGAATAATGATGTACCAGTTGTCCCATCCACTCCTATTCAAGGAAAACAAATAAAATTGTGAAACCCCAAAGCTGACTAGCACCAAGTATGCACTGGCCACAGCCTGATGCAGCCTCTTTGACCAGCAGTATGGCCAAATATGAAATACATATGTATAATGATTGGTCCAAAATTTCATTAATAAGAACATATCCTACAATTTGTTGTTGTTGTTGTTGGTACTGGGAAGTGAACTCGGGACCTTGCACTTTCCAGTTAAGTGCTGTGCCACAGAGCTATATTCCCAGCCCTGAGCTCTGTCTCCAGCCTCGTAATCTACAATTATAACTGCACCAAGTAGGCACAAACTGGCAAGAGTCTAAATGTCATTAAGAGAATATCCACACTATCAGTGAAATGTTCACTAGGAATCAACAAAACTGGATAAGACTGTATAACATGTGAGAAAACTTCCAAGATCCATTGTTGGGAAAGAGGAGGCCACACACTAATTTTCATGATTTCACAGACCTACAAGAGGATACAATGGAGAAGTTAGAAATAAAGGAAGGAAGGCAGAGAGAGAAGTAGCACAAGACCATTTAGCACTGACCAAAGAGCTATATGGTAAACAAGGACAGGAAGCAGTAGTTGATCTTACAACACGATAAAGCTAGAAAACTTCAATGTGTGAAAGGCCATTTGTGTGGTGTGACTTTTTGAATACTGGAAAGTACTGGAACTGAGTCTGCCTTTGTCACCAGCGGTCAACCTGGGGTTGATATTAGGAGCTGTACTCTTGTGTCCGTGTAAAGGGAAGGGAAGGGTTTTCTGTAGTCATCTGAAGGCTGCAGACAGGAGAAACTGGAGACTTGAACTCCTCCCTGCTCTCACCCAGAGAATAATAACAACGTTTTTCTATTACTCAGAGTCATAAGTCATAAATTAGAATACTGAACAACTTTCATATTCTGAGATCTTTGGAAAGACTGTAGCATTCAAAAAGAATGGACTGGGCTGTTGAGATAGCTCAGCAGACTAAAGCACCTGGTGAGGCAAGTTTAGGCAAGTGTGGGGACTGTGGTTCAATCCCCAGCACCACATGCTGCACCATCCCTTCCCCCCAGGGCAG